GCATCACACAGCATATTTAATGTCACCACACGCAGGTTAAACACACAGGAAGGAACCTCCTGAGGATATGATACAACTTTCACAAAACCCCTCTCTCTTGCTCCCCACCCCCACTCCCTCTATTCCCTTAAGAGCATTAGCATTCTTCACTTCCCCCTATCCCAAGCGTTCTGCAAACTAGCACTCTCACTGTCTATTGAAGACAGAATAACTTCAATGATGATAGCCAGAACACAGAGAAACAACTGCTGTGGCAGACTATACACAATATTTATTTCATTATCCTGAAGTCAGTGTGACACATACACAGCCATAGTTCTAGTTAAAAATAGTTAAACAGAATTTTAAAAAGACAACTTGGACCCGCTTGAATTTTTGGTGAGGTTCATGCTTGCTGGTCACGAACATGGAACATCACACTAAATAAGTGCATCGTATATTGATGTATAAATTGGTGATATTATATAAATGGAGCTTATGGAATATGGAAGCTTAATATTATAGATAGTGGGCAGAGAGCAGAACTGGTTAAACATTTTTGAGGGGTTTTTAGCATGTTAGGTGGTTACTAGGGTATTGCTAGGTTGATGATCTAGTCCCTAGATATGGCTAATGTTCCTCCTTCATTGTAATTATATGGAATATTTACACTAATTTATCATCTGGAAGGCAAATATTGTTAGTCTGATTGTTTAGAAAAGCATATGATGTAAGGTATAATTATGAGCAATAGTAATATTCATGATTGATTTAATAAGCACCAATAAATAACAAAAATTCAGATCAGTTCAGGCAGGAGCCATATCAACCACAGCCTGAATATTCTACGAATGTCTTAGGATGTGGTTGGCCAAGTAGGCTGTTATCGATAGTATGTGTGCACCATACGTGTGTGAGTTTACTGTGTTTAAAGGCAATGTGAAAGGGCTCAAAAGAAAAAAATAATAATGAAAATGAAGCAATCACAGCAGATGAATCATTGCACAAGTACCATATTTGGATTATTTACCTTTATTTCGCCATATGTTACATGTAGTGAGCTCTGAGCATTATCTTTGAACACCTCGGCTGCTGTATGACTTTCCGTGTTTGAGGGTGAGAACAACAGAGGAAAGAGAGAGAGACAGAGACAGAAGAGTGCTCCAACTAAACCCTCAACCACATCCTCTAACACATATGTCAGCAGCAACTATGCTACCGAACTAAACACTCTCTCACACACACACACACACACAGACACACGCACACACACAC